TGGAAGCAGTTAATATGTAGAATAAAACATATGGTATAGCTCTTTTATCATATGGATTAAATTGACACAATAAGTGAAGGTTTTACATCTTGAATAAAATATTTTATAGGAGAATCAGGCTACCTGAGTGGCTACATTTATCTGTTAGGTGACTTAAAGATATAGCAGCTTCCTTCTTAGTTGCAAATGTGCCATGGTTGACCTGTATTAAAAACAGAGACGAATGCCCTGAGTCTTTTCAGATTTGGAGAATTATTTATCAATTATTATTTATACATTTTGAACTTGTGCATTTCTTACTAAAATTCCACAAGGAGAAAGAATCCCGTTGTTTGTCAAGGTAATATTTAAATTTATTCCACACTGTGTTTTAAATATGAAGTACATACTCATGTTTTTAGATTTATGTCTATAAAACATCAATTGTTGTAACAAAAGATTTTCAAGGGGTTGAGGTTGTGGCTCAGTAATAGAGTGCTTGCCTAGTATGTGTGAGGTACTGGGTTTGATCCTTGGCATCCCTTAAAAATAAATAAATAAATAAAGGTATTGTGTCCATCTACAACTAAAAATTTTTTTTTAAAAGAAAAGTATTTCAAAATGAAAAGGATACTTAAGTTTCCATATGCCCTGGGAAGAATTTAAAATGTAGCTTCCCCCCACACCCCTTTAATTCAGTAATTAACTAAACATGCCCCGTAGTTTAGGGGGACTATAATAGTTTACACCTGTTTCAACTTGTGCTGTTTTTGCTGGCAGCGGCTTTTGCCATCCCATATTTCTTATAAAGCAGAAATATGAAATAAAATATGGAAAAGCACTAGAAATTATAATAAACATAAAAATGAATTGTTCAGCTTCAAATATGAAATGCTTCACCTGCACATTTAGCCAGCCATGTTTCAGTAGTATTGAAGTAATTTAATCCTGGTGCTCTGTGTCATAAAAATAAAGACAATTGCTTGTATTGGCAGGAACAATCCCAGGTTTTTAAAATTCAAGTGGATAAACTTTGGAACATCAGACAGAAGTCATATTGTAAAGACCGTTTAAAAAACCTGCAACATCATCGTGTGTGTTCATGTTATTGTGGGATGAAAAAGATGAGAGACTATTTGCTTAAAAGATTGCAAAAAGACCAGTAGAACTATTTTACTACAGAATATAATCAGACTTCAAATGTCAAGGAATACCATGCCTTGAAGTATAGGTTGGCTTATTTCACAGACAACATTTTGCCATCCAAATATAATGAAAAGGAAGTGATTTGAGTCAAAATATTATCATCCCTCATATTTCTTTTCTCGTAATTCAAGTCTCCAGTGGTCTCCCTGGAATACCCTTTATTCTGCAGGTCTAACAGTAGCTGTCCAGTTCAACCACTGGGTTGAGAGTAAAATGAGTAGTTTTTTAGGGCATTGTCCAGAATAAGAATAGCAAAATTAAATTCATAATAAATTTAACTTGGATGAAGTTGTTACTGTGAAAAGCTCATTTTGGCTATCTCTCTCTGGTTGAGTAGCTTTGACTATTATATGGGTAAGGGTTGTAAGTTGAAAGAGTGTAGGGACTTGGTTCTCTCTCTTCGTTGGTACAGGACCCAAATGTTTGTGTAATAAAAGAGTGAATTGCTTTCTTTCTTTTTTTTTTCTTGATCTGTAAAATTAACCTTTTTAATGTCTAGGTTTATACGGAGAAAAATATTTGCAATGCCTTAGTCCCCCAGTCCCTCACTTTCATTTCTTGTAGGAATTTTTATTTTCGTACTGAAGGATTTAGAGTATGTTTGAGAATAAGAATGAGACTCTCAGCTTTGGACACAGAACGATCCCTGTTTGATCATGTTTGATTGTTCCTTACCATCAGTAGAAGTTCTTCAGGAGACCCACTGACCTGGCAATAAAATAAGAATGCTTTCTAGGAAGTGCCAGTGACTGGTGTAACCATAGTTAGCATATGAAACAATGATCTAACCAAGAGTCCAACTCCTTGTCTTCTACTGGGACCCTTAGGAGCCCAGGAAATATGCACATCAAAATTTAAGAAAAATCAGGTTCAGATCTGGAGTTACTTTCACAGTAGACTTCTCGTATCTGCAGTTTCACTTAACTGTGAACAGTGGTGGGATGAAGATATTAAATGGGAAGTTCCAGAAATATATAATTTTAAATTTTAAATTTTGTGCCTTTCTGAGTGATGTGATGAGGTCTAGCTTTGTCCTGCCTGGGGTATGAGTCTTATTTGTCCAGCTTATATACATTGTATGCCCTACCCACCTAGTACCTACTAGTACCTACTAGTACCTACTACTCATTTAGTAGCCATTTCAGTCTTCAGATCAACTGTCACAGTTTTCACAGTTCTACACTGTGTCCAAGCAACTCTCCTGTAGTAACCTAACACTACATCTGTGTCATTCCTCACTTCATGTCATCAACTAGGCATTGTATCATCTGATAACATCACAGGAAGAAAGATGAGTGCAGTATAGTAAGATATTTTGAGAGAGAGACAGAACATATTCACTACAACAACACTGTAATTCATTGCAGTATTGTTATAATTCTTTTTAAAATCAGTTTTTATTGTTAATCTTTTACTGTGCCTAATTTATAAGTCAAACTTTATCATAGATATGTATGTAAAAGAAGAAAGCATACATAAGATTTGGTAAAATCTGTAGTTTCAGGCGTCCACTGGGCATCGTGAAGTGTATCCCCTGTGATAAGGGGGTTCTACTGTACATTAACCCTTGGAATAAAAATATCAAATTTTTGTTGCCAATGAGTATGCTATTTCTGGCTTTCTGCCCTTCCATTCCTTTACAAATCAAAAGCTTGCTAGAGGTGTGGGTTTCTGGTTAAATATTGAGTGTTTTTTTCTTGGAACATAGTTAATTATAGTTTGGGTCTAACTAAAGAAAATTGCCCCTTTTTTATTCATCCAGAGATTGAAGGGCCATTCTGTGAAGTATCTCTAGTGTTTTGATGGACATGAAATGAAGGAAATTTTTGTTGTATGGTATTGGGGAGTGAGCCCAGGATTTCATGTATACTAGGCAGGTGTTCTGCACTGAGCTACAACCTCAGTTCTTGAGGAGCCCTTTGAGGTTGTGAATTATAATGAATTTGTCATGAGCAAAATAAGTGTCCTAAAGGAGATTTCTGTAATGGAAGGTAATTGTATCTTGAAATCTAAACTGATGAATTCTAAGTTGAGAAGGAGTTTCTGTGATAAAGGGAGTAATTATTTATTTTACAGATAGACCTTGCAGAATATCTTTAATTGTGAAAATTTCAAAGATGAGGTTCCTTGAAGTCACTAGATATATATTTTTTCTAAATCTTCATGACTTTGCTACTTTCACTGCCAAGTCACTGTAGGTGTCATTGAATACAGTCCTTTTTTGGCTATTTTTAACTTTAGACAGAGACAACCCAAGAGTTAGCTGAGCTGAAGGGCCCCTTGGCACTTATCACTAGGTTTGGGTCATTCGGTTTGGGTATGGAGTTTTTATCTTGCCTTGGTGGCCCCCTCCTGCTAGTGTTGGTCACATTTGCCAGTTTGTTTAGTAGTTTAATGTCTTATGTGTTTTTTAAAGCTTTAATATTGATACATTGCCAAGTTTTAGTGAAAACCATAGTTTGTTGAGTAAACTTCAAAGGATTTTATTTGTGGAAATGTATGACTCAACTGGTCCATATCAACGTCTTTGCTCAGTTCATTGTTGATTGTGTGGAATTTGTGCAAAAAGAAAAGGTTAAAAAAGGTATTATAGAAGGTGTTTTATATTTAACTGTGAAATTTGAGTTGGTGAAAAAAGAATTTAAATTTTAATACTTGTTATTTCTTTGAGGGCAGAGAGAATTTCTTTGGGTTTTGAATTCTTTACCTAGCATATCAGATTTATAGTAGGTACTTGTCAAAATGTGCCAAGTGGCAGGTATGATACTTAAGTGATTGATCTTCCACACTTCTTGGGTCTTTAATCATTTTAACATGGGACGTGAGCACACACAAGTGCACACTTACACTTCCCTGCTGCGTTGTTGCCAGCAGGCCTTTGGGTTACCATGGTCTTCTAGACTTTGATTGCCAGAAGTTCTTGTCCAAGGTCCTTTCTTATCTTTGCCAGGAGTTGGCTCCTCCATTTAACTCCAGTTCCACTTTACACCTGAATCAGAGTTCTATTTGGGTTTTGCCCCTGGGTCCAGGCAGTCTGAGGCAGTTGCAGCAAGATGGTGTTGGCTCTTTGTTTCTTCTCTCCTCTTAGATTCCCTACCCTTACCAAAGATGAATGAAACATATCCAGAGTCACAGATTTTTTTCTTTTTTTTTGACATTGGGCAGAGCACTGGGTTTGTCCTGAATTTATAGGTTACCATTTAGATATAAAAATGTTGTTCAAATGTAGTAACCTTTTTATTAATCTCACAGGAAGTTGGTTGTTGACTGTGATCTTCAGTATCATTACTACCTCATTCTCACGTTGTGTTGTTTCTCACTTTGTATATGTGAATGAAGGAATGAATTAAAGTAGTACAGAATGGCAGTGAAATCCAAGCAGGGTATATAGTCATTGTGAATCATGAAACTGAAAGGGCTCCACAGTAGGCCACAGTGGGTGAGCCACCTGTTGGCAAAGCAGCCTTCCACCTGTTATCGATTACAGATAGGAAGTGCTTGGAGCACTGGAGCTGATGACTTCCTTCATTGTGTTTGTTCAAATATTCCTTCTCAATGAAAGGATGAGATCACTTTTGTCTCTGTGGAAATAGAGACTTGTGAGTTTTTTTGAATCTTTATGTAACCTAAAGCTGTGCAGTTGATTGGAATTTGTGTTTTATTGTTTATCAACTTTGCATCCTGATGAGGCACTGTGCTTTGGGAGAGCAGGATGTCCTGTTGACCTTCGTACTCTCCTACCTGATACCCAAGAGTTTTTGAATACGTAAATTGAAAAGAGAAAGTATTTTAAATGTATACATTTTTATTTACAGCTGCAGCTGAAGGAAAAGGCAGAAGTGGGGAAGACTTTTTTCAGAAGGTAAGTTGTGTTTTATTCTTACCTTGGGGATAAGTAAGGGGACATATCCCCATCTCAGTAGCTGCTCTGGAGAGCCCTGAGAGATCCCCTTCCTGTGAAGGAGAATGGGTTTGGATAATCTAGCCGAAAATAGTGCAAGTAGGGTAAGGGAGGGATGATGTATGGAACTTGATCATTCTAAGAAGGCTCCTTCTGGGGCAAATCCAATGAAGGTTTTGTTTGAAAGCAAGAAGTGAGTGAGGCCATCCAGATGAATTTCTCACACAAAAGTCAGCAGTGTTGTCCTGATTATCTGCTTTTATTGCTATCTTGTTTCTTCCTTCCCTAAACAACATGTTTGATTTGGAAGACAAAGAGGAATCCCTAGCAGCTTGCCTTATTTATGGGCAGGAAACTGTAATCAATAAAAGATACTTGCTCATGACTGGTCACTATGTCCATTCTGTTCCTGCTGTCCCCTGAAAGTTCAGACCTTCAATGAAACCAGTTGGGCCAGCCACATGTTGCAAGGGAAAATGAGAGCTGGAGCTATTTTGAAAAATGATTATAAGAAATTATGAATGGTAGTTGATGATTTATAACACTATTTCTCAAAATGAATGTTTTATACAAAGAAACGATGCCTATCCTTTTGAAAAGGTTGACTTGAGTTCATATTCTTCTTACTTTTGTTCATTTGGGTATAGGGTATTTGTGTCCCTGTGTTGGGACCTAGAAGGTATGTCCATGCAGGTATTCTGGAAGGGATGCAAATTCTGAAGATGAGCCTAAATAGCACTTGAGAAAGTCATCAGCTCTTTGTAAAACACCTATGTGGAACCACCACAGGTGCCTGTTTTTACAAATGTCTTTTTTTTTCCTGCCTTCTGTGAGATTTTTTTTTTTTTTTTGGGGGGGGGGTCAACTTCATCATTTATTTACATTTTCTTCCAAGAGTATTAAAAACAAATATTGTCAGAGCTGATGCTTATATTGCCATTTCTTGTTTTTTTTTTTAATTTTTTATTGTTGGTTGTTCAAAACATTACAAATTTCTTGATATATCATATTTCACACTTTGATTCAAGTGGGTCATTTCTTGGTTTTAAAGGTATTTATTTACTACCTGCTGTGTGCTACACACTGGAGAGACCAAAATGAGCCAAGCACAGTTCCTGCTCTGATGGAACATGAGGTGTCTGGTGATATAGACACATAAATAGACAGTAGAATAATCTGTGGCTTTTCAGAGAGGGATCAGCACTTGCCTGGGATTTTAGAAGACTAGCAAGGGCCTCTTCATGTCTTTTTAGAAGAGTAGAAGTTAACCAGGCAAAGAAGTAGGTTTGGGTGGATTGGGAAGGGCTTTCTAGGCAAAGAAGCAGAATGTAAGGGGGTTCTGAGGTGGAAGAGTTCATGCAGCACTACCCTTCAGACATTTGACTGGCACACTACATGTGCGGGTTTATGGTGCTAAATCAGGGGGCGGGTAGGCTGTGCTGTATGATGAAGTAAGTGCTTTATTTGAAGGGGAAGATCTTTCCTAAAGGGATTTAAATAAAAAAAAATTAGTAGTGCTGTTGGCCACATAGGATATGCCAGAATATCAGATTCCTACTCCTTCTTTAGGCACACGCAGCTGAAGTTCATGTACTGTGCTTGGAACCCCTGGCATGGCATTATCAGACAGTGGTTAGTGTCCACCTTACCTTCAATACCTGGGCCTTTAGCTGGGGCAGGCTTGGAAGCAAAGGTAAGACAAGACAGATGGCAGGAATCATAGATTTGCCTCTGGTTGGTGAATAGACAGTATAATATTTTCTGTGGAAAGGGTTTTCTCTTTGTTCTTTTTAAACTCACCAATAGATATAAAAAGTGTACCATTCAGCTTCGTGTGCTTCAGACATTTTCAAAGTTGAATCAAAATCTGTTAGATATGGTCATAAAGGACTCTTATTCTTCGAAGATTTTCTAGTATTTATCACCCTTTGTGGAGCCACATAGACATTCCAGCAGTTCAAGTGGAAACACATGTTTGAATCCAGCAACATAATGTGCCTCCCATGAACTACGAGTTGGACACATGGATTCTATTCACGGTCACAGGTTGGTGAGTTCTGTGAATAAACTGGAGTAATTTTTATCTTCTCATTTCTTCTTTAGTTCAGTGGGAAGTATCTTCTTGATAGACAGGTGTCCATATAACATTTGTATACTCACCTGGAAAAAAACCTGTAGCTTAATAAAGCTGGAAGCAACTCAGATTCCAGGAGTGTAATCTGATGTTCTGACCAGACAGAGTGGACATCATGGTTCACCTGTGTTCAAGCGAAGTAGTGAAGAAGAGTTGAGTTGGAACTGTGGCCTTATCACATGGTTTCATATGATAGCATTTTGGGAAACATATAAGATATAGGCCATATTGATGCTCATTAGCATCTTTGAAGAAATATATTTATCCTCCCAGAGTAATGCAAATATGAAGGATCTAAACATTTATTATTGGAATGCTTTTTGCTTTTGACTCTGGGGTGTGTGTAACAAAAATTAAAACCTCTGTGTACCTGGATGTCAAGTTCTGCACCTTAATGATTTTAAAAACTTCTTCAGCTCTGGAAGGGTCCTTACCCTGTTTCATAGTGTCTCTTTCTAAGGTAGAGATTGGAGGATGGTGAGATTTTATATATTATTTTGTTTTTTTTTTGTATCATAAAACATATGTAAAATCATATCAGCATAATTATGCTAATTAAAGTATGCTAAATTCAATTAGAGTAATTATTCTCATTTAAGTTTTCAAATAGAAAAAAATTAAATCTATCATTCAGAATAAACATTTGTAGATTTCCATAATTTGAATTTCAGTTTAGAAAATAGTAAGATTGTCAAATATATTATCTTAAATTTAGAGCTATAATATAAGTGATTGTTCAGTTTTCTATTCCTGGAACTTCTCCCAAAGAGTTAAAATTACTTTCTTACAGAGATTTATCCCCATTTCTACACACCATTTCACTGACAGGCTACCCCTGACACTCTATTGGAGTAAAAGGATAATAAATAAGGTGGTATAGACAAGAAATCCCACAACATAATGACCTGAAGAACAGTCTTTTTTTTTTTTTTTTTAAACTGTCATGTAACATTCTAAGAGGAATTCCATCTTAGTGGTATCTTTGTCCCCTGCTTTCAGTTACAGAGGCCCATGTTCCTTCTGTGATGTGTCAGGACTGTTCCTTATGGCATGGCCTTCATCTCTGTGTCTGATGCGGGTTCACTTCACATCCAGATGTGAGCTGGTGAGAGGAGGAGAGAGCAGAGGGGAGGCACGCCATGGTCCTAAGCCAAGGCTTGGGAATGGCAGGTGTTACTTCTTCTCACATTCTGTTAGAGAAAACTTAGTTAAGTAACTAGCTGCAAAAGTGAGAGGGAAGGAGGGCCTGGGGCATTTGGAGAAATGGATTTGATATGCACTGTTTCACCAAATGCCAGCCTGTTAAGAAAAAAAATATGTAGTCACAGTGTTAATGTGTTTGTGTGGTATACTTTGAAACTTTTTGTCTTAGTTTATTAGGGCTGCAATGCCACAAACTGTCTTACCCATAGAAATGTATTGTCCCATAGTTTTGGAGGCTGTAAGTCCAAGGTCAAGGTGATACTGTATAAAGGCGATGAGAGAGAATTTGTTCCATGCCTCTCCAGTGATGAGTTGCTGGTAATCCTTGGTGTTTCTTGGCTTACAGAAGCTTCACCCAGATCTCTGCCTTCATCTCATTCTCTCAGTGTGTATATCTGTGTCCAGATTACCTCTGTAAGGATATAGTTCATGTTGGATTAGGGGATCCACCCTACTTTGCTATAGTCTTATTCTTACTTATTACATCTACCCTGATTTGATTGCCAAGTAAAGTCACATTTTGAGGCCCCAGGGATTAGGACTTTAGCACATGAATTTTTTTTTTTCATTTATAAACACATAGAGATTTTTTATTGCCATTGTTCATCTTTTATGGATATCTCTTGTCTCCCCCTTATGCAGAGTTGTACATATTGTAGCACATGAATTTTTGGAGGACATAATTCAGTCAATATCTCATTTTAATGGAGGAAATAATTCTGTAGAAAATTACTATAATTAGAAAAATTTACTAAAACTGTGAATTTTATTTATCACATTTGGATAGATTTTAACTCCCTAATCATTTATACTAAATGTTTCTTATTATTACAAGTTCAACCTTTCTTTCCTCCCACCACCTTTGTATTGAACCCAAGGGTTGTCTTCCTCTAAGCTACATCCCCAGCCCTTTTTATTTTATTTTATTTTTTTATTTTGACACAGGGTCTTGTTAAATGGTTGAGCCTGACCTTGAACTTTCTATCCTTCTGCTTCAGCCTTCTGGGATTATAGTTGTGTACCACCATGCCTGGCTTGTTACATGTTATTTCTAAATTGTGTAGAATGAATAGATAATAGACACAAGAAAGAGAACTGTTCATATGCTCTCAGTCTTTTCTCTTGTACAGTAAAGATGTATGTTAATGTGATTTTAGAAATATTTCCTGATTGGTTGATGGTATTACAGATTTGCATTGGATACATCCCAAATGTGTGTGGGGGTTGGGCAGGGAGGGGAAGAGTAGGAGACAATTTTATAAAATTCTCCAGTAATTGTACTTTTTATTCTTTGGATCTCTCTACATAAAGAGGGGATTGGATGCAAGTTTATTAATGCTCTCTGTAGTTCTTTGTCCATGTTTAATGGTAACTTATCTAATTGAGACACATGGAAACCATCTTCCAGGTTTTCTGTGGTTTTTGGGCAGTCGTTCATGGCTTACTCACTGTCTGTCCTGTTTCCTCTTTAATCACTTCTTTTTTTTTTCCCCTCTTGTGAAAGTGATTATGATGAGATCTTGGAGGGGAAAATGTGTTACAGTATATTAGGTAGGGATGGGCACAGTGATTGTATTACTAGTGTGACTCATCAAAGAAAACGCTTTGGGAATCAGCCATGCTG